AGGAGAGTAATGGAGTGCTGCATCAGATGACCTGGCCGCCACAATCACCCGACCTCAACCCAATTGAGATGGTTTGGGATGAGTTGGACCGCAGAGTGAAGGAAAAGCAGCCAACAAGTGCTCAGAATATGTGGAAACTCCTTCAAGACTGTTGGAAAAGCATTCCTCATGAAGCTGGTTGAGAGAGAGAATGCCAAGAGTGTGGAAAGCTGTTATCAAGGCAAAGGGTGGCTACTTTGAAGAATCTCAAATATAAAATATATTGTAATTTGTTTAACACTTTTTCCATATATGTTATTTCATAGTTTTGATGTCTTCACTATTATTCTACAATGTAGAAAATAGTAAAAATAAAGAAAACCCTGGAATGAGTAGGTGTGTCCAAACCTTTGACTGGTACTGTAGGTAAGGGTAAAGTGACTATGCATAGATAATAAACAGCGAGTAGCAGCAGTGTAAAAATAAAGGGGGGGGGGGGGGGGGGGGGGGTCTTATGGCTTGGGGGTAGAAGTTGTTAAGGATCCTTTTGGACCTTGACTTGGTGCTCCGGTACCGCTTGATGTGCAGTAGCATCGAGAACAGTCTATGACTTGGGTGACTGGAGTCTTTGAAATTTTTTTGGGTCTTCCTTTGACTCCGCCTAGTGTAGAGGGCCTCGATGGCAGGAAGCTTGGCCCCAGTGATGTACTGGGCCGTACGCACTACCCTCTGTAGCGCCTTAGTCGGATGCCAAGCAGTTGCCATACCAGGTGGTGATGCAACCGGTCAGTATGCTCTCGATGGTGCAGCTGTAGAACTTTTTGAGGATCTGGGGACCCATGCCAAATCTTTTCAGTCTCCTGAGGAGGAAAAGGTGTTGTCGTGCCCTCTTCACGACTGTCTTGGTGTGTTTGGACCATGATAGTTTGTTGGTGATGTGGACACCAAGGAACTTCAAACTCTCGACCTGCTACACTACAGCCCCGTTGATGTGAATGGGGGCGTGTCCGGCCCTCCTTTTCCTGTAGTCCACGATCAGCTCTTTTGTCTTGCTCACGTTGAGGGAGAGGTTGTTGTCCTGGCACCACACTGCCTGGTCTCTGACCTCCCTATAGGCGGTCTCATCATTGTCGGTGATCAGGCTTACCTTCGTTGTGTCATCGCAAACTTAATGATGGTGTTGGAGTCGTGCCTGGCCACGCAGTCGTGGGTGAACAGGGAGTACAGGAGGGGACTAAGCATGCATCCCTGAGGGGCCCCCGTGTTGAGGATCAGTGTGGCAGATGTGTTGTTGCTTACCCTTACCACCTGGGGGCAGCCCGTCAGGAAGTCCAGGATCCAGTTGCAGAGGGAGGTGTTTAGTCCCAGGGTCCTTAGCTTAGTGATGAGCTTTGTGGACACTATGGTATTGAACGCTGAGCTGTAGTCAATGAATAGCATTCTCACATAGGTGTTCCTTTTGTTCAGTTGGGAAAGGGCAGTGTGGAGTGAAATTGAGATTGTCATCTGTGGATCTATTGGGGCGGTATGCGAATTGGAGTGGGTCTTGGGTTTCCAGGATGATGATGTTGATGTGAGCCATGACATTCTCTACATCTTATGCTATTTGAGTGACTCAAACATTTAAAAAAATCAGTGCCTTGACATTTTTAGATTTTTAGATTGTCCCTGACTGTCTAGTGTTTATTTGGGTGATTTGTTAGTTCTCAAAGATTATCTTATTATAAAATATATATAGGTCCATTATCTTTTCTACATACTTTATATCTGGTTTTAGTCGTTTAAGTTTACGCTGAAAATGATTTACCATCCCGAAAGTTCTTTAAAAAAATAATAGATTTTGCCCGCCGCTGCTGAATGAATATAGGTCACAGCAGTATGTAGACTTTAAAAGCTGATCGTTGATGATACATAATAATATATATGCTCACCCCTCTCTCTCCCACTCCCTCCTCTCTCTCTCTCTCTCTCTACACGCAGAGTGAGGCTGGGGTGCGCGAGTTCCACATTGTACAGGTCTCTAGCAGCAGTAAACAGTGGAGACTACACAAGTGTATAAATCCGGCGGAAGACAAAGGTTTGTCCCTCTGCTCTCCGTGGCCCTCTCAGATACCACTACAAATAGTCTTAAACTCATTTACTCTATGACTGTTTGACATTTCGGTGTCAGCTTTTGATTTGTACATTTCCATTGAAAGAGAGGCTTGACTAAATAGTTTTTTTTTGTGTCATTTCACTTCATTTCTTTCTCTCAATTCTTTCTCCCTGTTTCTTTGTTTTATTTCATTTGGGAGGATTTTATGTAGCTTTTTATGTTGCTGAGGCGTCTGTATCACTAGGTGATATGCAATGTAGCAGTCCTGCGCAGAAGAATTGCCAGCCCTCGCAGAGGTGCACAAGATTTAATTTCACTCAAATGTACACTATCTTTCCTGGCTTTAAACAGATAAAATGTTCCCTCTACTATGGAAATTGGGATTGAATCAATGTAATAACAGTCCCTTTCAATGCAACAAACCAAATCTAAATCCAAGACTGAGTTGTTGGTGATTTTGTTGTAGGCTGAGGAGCGCATCAGAGAGGGAATGGCCGGCAGGGGATGTAGCTCAGTTGGTAGAGCATGGCGTTTGCAACGCCAGGGTTGTGGGTTTGATAAAATAATATATGTGCTAACTGTAAGTCGCTCTGGATAAGAGCGTCTGCTAAATGACTAAAAATGTAAATGTAAATGTAGCCAATTTCACAAGCACAAGCGTTTTTTCCATCATCTGTGGTCAGAGAGAAGCCTAGATGTGCGTTTGAGATCACAGAGCATCGTCGCGTGTGCACATTTGTTGATATTCTTTACTAGTTAGAGTGATTGCTTCCTACAAGAGCACAAAACTTGTACATATTGAATTGTCTTTAAAAAGCGAGTCAGGTAAATAGCTTTTTTTGTCTTAAAGGGGCAGTGTCCTGTTTTGAGATGAGCATAAATTATTCAAATAAGCCAGTAGGCAGAGGGTAGCATACATTTTTGTATGATTTTCTGTAAGGTAATAATAATAACAATGAATTCAATTTTGTCTAGTTGTTTCATGCATCATATAACACAATAAAATGCAATTTTCAGTCACCTATTTGCTAATTGTGACTGTTATGAGCTTTCGGACAAGTAAAACATCAGTCCCAAAATGGTCAATGTCATAATGTGCATAATGTTTTTTAAAAGTCTCCGCTCACAACACCTGAAATTTACTCTGTGCTGAAAAATATTAGAGGGAACATTGGTTATTAGTATGAAAAAATGTATGCACTCACTAACTGTAAGTCGCTCTGGATAAGAGCGTCTGCTAATTGACTAAAAATGTAAATGTAAAATGTTATATGCTGTCTCTATGAAAACTAAGTAATTTCCTAGTTAGCTGTGTGGCATCTACTGGATTACTTTGGTGTGTTGGGCTGTTATGTTCATTAGATATATGCCTTTTGGTGGTTTGATCAGTGAGGATCACTTGTTTGGAGTGGTTACCTTGGTTATCTAGCCTAGTTCATTTGGTAGAGTAGGCTACTGAATTGTGTATGCTGCTAAGTCACAGTGCATTTGACATTAACATTTAATTCATTTAGCAGATGCTTTTATCCAGAGCGGCTTGCAATTGGTGGCATTTCATGCTATACTATAGCAATGGGACCGCCCTTCGCAGTTCATACAGTGTTAAATGCTTGTTATTCAGCTTGTTATTCAGCTCTCTGCCAGGCTGGGTAGACGATCCCCGTGGGAACTAGCTTTGTGATTGAAGACCAGTGGTGTGGCTGGTGGCCAGGATACGTAGCCGAGGGCAGAGTGATATTTTAGCCGCTCCCTAGAACAGTGTGATTATATGGGTAGTTCCAGTAATCACACACACACACACCACCGGGGGGCACTTTTGCAAGTAGGTCACTTTGCTAATTTTCTCTCTGTCATCATATATGGAAATGTGGTGATATAGAGGTGGCAGTGACCAGGACAGAGTGGAAAAGAGACACCACACACGCCCACAGCCTTATATGCTATTTTATTCAATTCTGTCCTATTTGTCCTCTCCCTGTCACTCGCGTGTTGCTGCTGATTATAGCCTGTAGGGTTTAAACTGCACTGAGGACTGGCTGTGATAACATTACACATTCACATTAACATGAGTCAGAAGGGCTCTCTGTGAGGATTATTCTTCATCAGTTACGTGTGTGTGTTTGTCTGTGAGATGTACAGACTGCTGTCAGAACGTATGCTATGCTGCACCGCTAACACGCTAATTAGCCACTCAGCAGGATCACCTGATAACACACACACACTGGTAATATCCGCACTCCAGAGAGATGGTACTGTATGTATGCCAATACTGTCTCTTGTCCCTTTCTCCCTCTCTTTCCTCTTTCCATCTCTCTTCCTCTCTCTATGTTCCACTGATTGATCATACTAGTTCACAGCCTGAGGCTAGAGTGTTAGTTGCCTACAAACAGTTTTCCTTTTCCTGTAATAACAGTACATTAAGCTACATCAGGTTTTCCTTCTCCTGTAAACACACTCACTCACTCACACACACACACACACACACACACACACACACACACACACACACACACACACACACACACACACACACACACACACACACACACACACACACACACACACACTATCTGCTTAGAACACTGAGCTGCTGCTGGCCCATAGTAATAAGTGAGCTGAAAAGAATATCAAGGGTCTCACCAATGTGTTAGAACATCAGATGGCCTTTAGAGAAGTGGTGTGTTTGTACATGTTTTACTATACGTGTAAGTACCAGAAGTCCTCACAAGAATAGTAAACCAACTACAATTCTGAGAAGTGAGGCCATTTTGCCAGTCCTCACTTGTAAAAAGGCTATTTTAGGCTTAGGGGTTAGAGTTGGGGCTTGGGGTTAGAGTTAGGGCTTAGGTTTAGACGGAGACAGGACATGGACATGTGTCTGTCTGTCTGTCTTTCTTTCTTTCACCCTCCTCTTGTCATTCCAGACTGCAAACTCACCAGCAGAGAGAGGGGCAAGCTGTGCTTCAGAGCAACACGATGCAAACCCCACGAAGGTACACACACAAACTCTTGTTACCAACAATATCAGACAATAAGGAGAATCTCTTTTCGCTCTCTTGACTGTTATTTTCTGTATCTTCTGTGTCTTAGCTACCTCGAAGGCACTAGAGAAGTACACCTTTGCAGACCTGAGCCTTGGAAATGAACAGGTATGTTAACCATTGTAAGAGGACAATAACAGTTTTATTATCTGTCACTGCTGGTCTGTTGTGCCTGAATGTATAAAAAAAATCTATACCATTACCCTCTCCACCCCAACCTTCTCTCCCTCCCTTCTTTCCTTCCTTTCCCACGTTTTCCTTCCTCTCCTCATCTCTTTTCCTCTCTCCCCTTTTTATCTGCTCTCTTGTCGCTCACCCTCTCCTGTCCTTTTCTCTCTCTGCTCTCACCCTCTCCTCCTTTCATTTCCTCTCTCTGCTCTCTCCCTCTCCTTTCCTTATCTCTCTGCTCTCCTCTCCTTTCCCTTTCTCTCTGCTCTCCCTCCTTTCCTTTTCTCTCTGCTCTCTCCCTCTCCTTTCCTTTTCTTCTCTGCTCTCTCCCTCTCCTTCCTTTTCTCTCTGCTCTCTCCCTCTCCTTCTTTCCTTTTTCTCTTCTTCCCTACTACCTCTCCTTCTTTCCTTTTCTCTCTCTTCTCTCCCTCTCCTTCTTTCCCTTTCTCTCTCTTCTCTCCCTCTCCTTCTTTCCTTTTCTCTCTCTGCTCTCACTCTCCTTCTTTCCTTTTCTCTCTCTGCTCTCACTCTCCTTCTTTCCTTTTCTCTCTGCTCTCTCCCTCTCCTTTCCTTTTCTCTCTCTTCTCCCTCTCCTTCTTTCCTTTTCTCTCTCTTCTCTCCCTCTCCTTCTTTCCCTTTCTCTCTCTTCTCTCCCTCTCCTTCTTTCCTTTTCTCTCTCTGCTCTCACTCTCCTTCTTTCCTTTTCTCTCTCTGCTCTCACTCATCTTCCTTTTTCTTTGTCTCTTTTTCTCTCTCTGTCTCTCTCCCTCTCTCGCTTCTTTCCTTCTTCTCCTTCCCTTCTCTCCCCTCTCCTGCTCTCACTTCTCTCCTTTCCTTTTCTCTCTCGCTCTCTCCCTCTCCTTCTTTCCTTTTCTCTCTCTTCTCTCCCTCTCCTTCTTTCCTTTTTTCTCGTAGACCCTCTCCTTCTTTCCTTTTCTCTCTCTGCCTCGCCCTCTCCTTCTTTCCTTTCTCTCTCTTCCTCTCTCCCTCTCATTCTCTTCCTTTTTCTCTCTCTGCGCTCCTCTACTTCTTTCCTTCTTTCCTTTCTCTCTGCTCTCTCCCCCCCTCCTTCTTTCCTTTATCTCTTCTCCCTTCTCTCCCTCTCCTCTTCCTTTTCTCTCTCTGCTCTCACCCTCTCTCTTTTTCTCTCTGCTCCATCTCCTCTTTTCCTTTTCTTCTCTTCTCTCTCCTCTTTCTTTCCCTCTCCTTCTCTCTTGCTCTCCTTTTTCTCTCTTGCCTCACTCTCCCTTCTTTCTCTCTCGCTCTCTCCCTCTCCTTCTTTCTCTGTTCTGCTCTCTATCCCTCTCCTTCTTTCTTTTCTTCTCTCTCCCTCTATTTCTCTCTCGCTCCCTCCCTTTCTCTTTCTCTCCCCTTGCTTTCCTTCCTTTCTCTCCTTCCCCTTCTCGCTTCTTCGCCTTTTCCTCTCTGCTCTCTCTCGCTCCTCCCTCCTCTTTCTCTCTCGGTCTTACTCCTTCTTCCTTTTATCTCTCTGCTTCTTCTCTCCTTCTTTCTTTTATCTCTCTGCTCTCACTCTCTTCTTCCTTTATCCTCTGCTCTCACTCTCCTTCTTCCTTTTACTCTCGCTCTCATCTCTCTCTTTCCTCTCTCTCGCTCTCTCCCCTCCTCTCTCTGCTCTCTCCCTCTTCTCCTTTTCTCTCTCTGCTCTCTCCCTCTCCTTCCTCTTCTCCTACCTTGTTCTTATCCTCCTCTCCTAAGATCATCAGCTCCACCACTCCGTGTGCAGACTTCTTCTTCCGGAGGTGTCAGTCCTCAGCGTCTTGGAGACCGCCTATTGTGGTGGAGACACAGGGGAGACATTCCAGGAGTCAGGGGGCGGGTCCTGGGGGTGGGGCTGAGGATATAACAGGCGTGGTCAGGAAGTGCAATGAGGTGGACCTCGACATCATCGTCCTCTGGAAGGTAAAACCACATAATTAAAATACACCACTATTACTATTACTAATTGTATTAGGATTAGTGCGACTACAGAATTTAAATAGACCTTTATTGCAATTACCGGTAAACACTTTACTTGACACCCAGCATCATAACACGTTATGACACGGTCATAACCATGTCATAATATGTCATACCACTGACATAACTTGTCATAACCTTTTATAATATTGTCATAACACTGGCATGACATATATTTAGACCTGTTGTGACATGTGGTCCTCTGTAGCTCAGCTGGTAGAGCACGGCGCTTGTAATGCCAAGGTAGTGGGTTCGATCCCCGGGACCACCCATACACACACAAAAAAATTATGCACGCATGACTGTAAAAAGCGTCTGCTAAATGGCATATTATTATTATTATTATTATTATTATTATTATTATTATTATGTATTGCGTTATTTTATGGCTGGTTATGACATCTACATAAGTGTCAAAACCCACAAATCCTACCACATAAGGCAAAACATTCCATTACACTATAGCCTACATGTCAACAGTATGTTTGTTATATATATAAAAATATATATATTCACCATGCTAAGATATAATTGTAATTGTGCACACATTGATGTCAGATATGCACCTACCCCAATGCTCTGTTGCTAATGACTGGGTTGAATGCAGGACAAGACACCCTCTTTTTGACTGATGACTGATATAAGGGCATGTACAGTGAGGGAAAAAAAGTATTTGATCCCCTGCTGATTTTGTACGTTTGCCCACTGACAAAGAAATGATCAGTCTATAATTTTAATGGTAGGTTTATTTGAACAGTGAGAGACAGAATAACAACAAAAAAATCCTGAAAAATGAATGTCAAAAATGTTATAAATTGATTTGCATTTTAATGAGGGAAATAAGTATTTGACCCCCTCTCAATCAGAAAGATTTCTGGCTCCCAGGTGTCTTTTATACAGGTAACGAGCTGAGATTAGGAGCACACTCTTAAAGGGAGTGCTCTTAAACTCCGCTTGTTACCTGTATAAAAGACACCTGTCCACAGAAGCAATCAATCAGATTCCAAACTCTCCACCATGGCCAAGACCAAATAGCTCTCCAAGGATGTCAGGGACAAGATTGTAGACAAGGCTGGAATGGGCTACAAGACCATCGCCAAGCAGCTTGGTGAGAAGGTGACAACAGTAGGTGCGATTATTCGCAAATGGAAGAAACACAAAATAACTGTCAATCTTCCTCGGCCTGGGGCTCCATGCAAGATCTCACCTCGTGGAGTTGCAATGATCATGAGAACAGTGAGGAATCAGCCCAGAACTACACGGGAGGATCTTGTCCATGATCTCAAGGCAGCTGGGAGCATAGTCAGCAAGAAAACAATTGGTAACACACTACGCCGTGAAGGACTGAAATCCTGCAGCGCCCGCAAGGTCCCCCTGCTCAAGAAAGCACATATATAGGGCTGTATGAAGTTTGCCAATGAACATCTGAATGATTCAGAGGAGAACTGGGTGAAAGTGTTGTGGTCAGATGAGACCAAAATGGAGCTCTTTGGCATCAACTCAACTCGCCGTGTTTGGAGGAGGAGGAATGCTGCCTATGACCCCAAGAACACCATCCCCACCGTCAAACATGGAGGTGGAAACATTATGCTTTGGGGGTGTTTTTCTGCTAAGGGGACAGGACAACTTCACCGCATTACAGGGACGATGGACGGGGTCATGTACCGTCAAATCTTGGGTGAGAACCTCCTTCCCTCAGCCAGGGCATTGAAAATGGGTCATGGATGGGTATTCCATCATGACAATGACCCAAAACACACGGTCAAGGCAACAAAGGAGTGGCTCAAGAAGAAGCACATTAAGGTCCTGGAGTGGCCTAGTCAGTCTCCAGACCTTGATCCCATAGAAAATCTGTGGAGGGAGCTGAAGGTTCGATTTGCCAAACGTCAGCCTCAAAACCTTAATGACTTGGAGAAGATCTGCAAAGAGGAGTGGGTCAAAATCCCTCCTGAGATGTGTGCAAACCTGGTGGCCAACTACAAGAAACGTCTGACCTCTGTGATTGCCAACAACGGTTTTGCCACCAAGTACTAAGTCATGTTTTGCAGAGGAGTCAAATACTATATTTCCCTCATTAAAATGCAAATACATTTATAACATTTTTGACATGTGTTTTTCTGGATTGTTTTGTTGTTGTTCTGTCTCTCACTGTTCAAATAAACCTACCATTAAAATTATAGACTGATCATTTATTTGTCAGTGGGCAAACGTACAAAATCAGCAGGGGTTCAGATACTTTTTTCCCTCACTGTACGTGATAGGCCTATCTGGCTTTATATGATTATGATGGTCATAATGTTTCTTGACAGTGTAATAAAGTGTATTTTCTTAGTCCAAGTAAAGTGACAAAGGATGGTCATAATGCTTCTTGACAGTATCATAATGTATTTTCTTAGTCCAAGTAAAGTGACAAAGGATGGTCATAATGCTTCTTGACAGTATCATAGTGTATTTTCTTAGTCTAAGTAAAGTGTAACAGGATGGTCATAATGCTTCATGACAGTGTCATAGTGTATTTTCTACAAGTTATTTAAATATGATGGGAAAAAAACATAACTAAATAATTTATTACAACAAAAACAAAGGATTTAAGAGACAAACGAAAATACACTTCTTGGCATGTAAAAAAACGACTTTGAATAAATCTTATGTAGGTATCATAACCAGCCCTAAAATACCGCAATATATGTCACAACAGGTGTAAATATATGGGTCATGACAGTGTTATGACATTGTTATCACCGTGTCATAACGTGTTATGGCACTGGGTGTCAAGTAAAGTGTTACCCAATTACTACTAGTATTGTACTAGCCATTACTAGACATACAGTATATAGGGTTCTGGTATTATATGATGACTCTATGGGTAAAACACTACATACATCCCATTCTTCCTGGGGTCCTGTTTGGACCCCAGGAAGAGTAAGCCACTGCCTTGGCAGAAGCTAATTGGGATCCTAATGAATACTAAAATCCCAAATCACTACAACTCGCTTAATACTGTTAGTTCTCCCACGCTATGCTAGGACTTCTACGGTGTTGCTGTTCCATTCTCCAATTATACATAGATTTAAATGTATATTTATCTCATGTCATTATTGAAGACGTTGCTGTCTAAGTGCTGAAGTTGTTTTTTCTGTTTTGCTCCATCGTGTGTTTCATTGTTTAATTATGCATTGATGGTCCATTTTATGGCAATTAAAAAAAAATAATAATATGCCATTTAGCAGACGCTTTTATCCAAAGCGACTTACAGTCATGCGTGCATACATTTTAGTGTATGGGTGGTCCCGGGGATCGAACCCACTACCCTGGCGTTACAAGCGCCATGCTCTACCAGTTGAGCTGATTGCTGAAGTAGTTTTTGCTGTTTTGCTTTTAACATTAGGCCAATGACTTTACTAATGTTTGTTTAATCTTTTTGACAGGCGTATGTTGTTGGTTGTTAATATTTGTTTCTTGTTGTTGACAGGCATATGTTGTTGGTTGCTAATATTTGTTTGTTCTTGTTGACAGGCGTATGTTGGTGGTTAATATTTGTTTGTTGACATGCGTATGTTGTTGGTCGCTAATGTTTGTTGTTGTTGACAGGCGTATGTTGTTGGTTGTTAATATTTGTTTGTTGTTGACAGGCGTTTGTTGTTGAAGACAACAAGCAGGTGATCCTGGAGGGACAGCTTCATGTGGCACTACAGACCATTGGCAAAGAGGCCTGCTCCCTCACACAGAAAGAGGTACTCACACACACACACACGTACGAACAGTGCCCTCTGTAATTATTGGGACTTTTTTCTTCTTTTGGCTGTATACTCCAAAAGTTTGGATTTGTAATCAAACAATGACTGAGGTTAAAGTGCAGACGGTCAGTTTTAATTTGAGGGTATTTTCATCCATTTTGGGTGAATAATGATGAGTGAGAAAGTTACAGACGCAGGAATATCGTACCCCCCAAAAAAATGCTAACCTCCCCTGTTATTGTAATGGTGAGAGGTTTGCATGTCTTGGGGGTATGATATTTGTGCGTCTGTAACTTTCTCACTCATCATTATTCACGATTCATTCAGGATTATCCGTTATTTTGGTAGCATCCACATTCATGTAGAAGTTTTTAGAAACATATTATATTCTTATTTACAATAAAAGTGACTCTAAAATGACACTATATTATTTACCATTAATTTCTATTGGCCACAAAATAATCTGAAACACAATCAAAAGAAAGAGCAAATGCATTCAGCATATTTGTAGTCAAAAGGTTGATTTTAGTCATTGCGTGCTATGAATATGGGACCAAATACTAAACTTTTTACTACTTTAATGAACATCTAAGTGTATTTGTACCAATACTTTTGGTACCCTAGAATTGGGGACTATGTACAAAGAATGCTGTAACTTATAAACGGTTCACCCGATATGGATGAAAATACCCTCACATTAAAGCTGATAGTCATTGTATCATTTAAAATCCAAAGTGCTGGAGTACAGAGCCAAAACAACAAAAACATTGTCACTGTCCCAACACTTTTGGAGCTCACTGTACAGTGCTCTGGCTGTGGGTCTCTCTCTCTCGGATGACTCATCACACTGAATGAACGCTGGCCATTTAATGTGCAACAAGTTTAAACATTCAAATCACCATTGTGTTCTTACTGTGTAGTGTACACACAAGCTATTTAGTGTACACACAAGCTGAATAACTATACACTCTTCAGGACTGAGTTACCTGCATTGAGCCTGAAGCACAAACAAAACCACTCACACACACACACACAAAAGCCCCTATGTTCTCCCAGTGAAATCAGCTCCTGCTGAGTGTTTAGTGTACCCCCTCCCAAACACATATACACAGTCTGTGACCATGCTTTCAGTGGTGGCACTGAAAAGCTTGGTGTCTGGGGCCTGGTAGAGGTTTTTACAGGGTTAGGGTCTACACCGATAGCCGACGGTTACGCTTCCAGTGTAGCAGGTAAAGAAAACTACTGCTTTTGCGACGCCCCAGTGTAGCTCTTATGTAAAAGTTACGTTTTATACAGTTAAGTGGTTTCAAGGCAGGCCCAAGCTAGTTTACTAGTTCAAGGCTGAGTGAAGAAGTTCAATAATCTTTATTTATCCCCAGATGGAAAATTCCATTTGTCACCACTAGGGCTGTGGCGGTCATTACATTTTGTCAGCCGATTGTCATGCAAATGCAGGTCTCGCGGTAATTGACTGTTAATTAACATAAACACCTTTAGCATCTCCAGGCCTCCATGCATACAAGCCACTGATGCGCGCATTTGGAACATCTACATTTTAAAAAGTCTAATAAATCCATTTAATATACACCATCACAATAAATCCATTATTTATTTTGGGCAGGTCTAAAGAAACATGGTATGAAGAAAATGTATTTCAGAAGAACAGAATGAATTGGCCTACTTTATGTTATCTGGCTATACTCTAGGCTGTAGGCTAGTTCATTTAGCAGACAAGATATGCTTAAATCCTGTGCCATTAATTTTATGTTAAATGATTTTATATTAAGAAGAATGTAATTGAACTTAGCTGAATAAAATAGAAAGGATATTTTTCCCATTCCGGAGCGAGTGTGCATATGAAGTGGCTATGTTGAGCGTAAAAGTTATCATTTGAAACAGGTCCTATACACTATATTTAGAGTTATTTGGCAACTATAGTTGTGAGTGATACAACCCTTAGAATGTCTTAGAAATCAAAACATATATGAGCTGCATGGCTATGATGATTTGAAAATGTTGCAAAAAAAGCTTGCACCTCTGTTCCTTGCACAAGCTGGTCTCTCATCAAGTGATCATATTTTCACCCATCAGACTATTCTCAATTTAATCTAGTCTTTACTAATATGTAAAATTACTTTCAATTTATAGTGGCCTGTTATCAAATGGGCAGGAACAGGGATAGGGGTAAAAATACATGTCATCCGTATGCACTCGAATAACCAATGGAGGCCTCTTTCCAGCAGTTCGTTTTTCAATCATGTCAGGTAGGCTACTCCGGTTTTATAGAACAGCTGAGAAATAAATATAGTAGCAGCTGGGATCCTCTTTTTAGAGGCAACCATCAAAACTCTGCTTTCACACGGGATTGTATATAGCAATGTTTGGGCTAATAAGAATACTTATATGTATTTCTTAATTTCTTATTTTTTCTGGTTTGTGTGTTTATTTTCTATTGTTAGGTATTACTGCACTGTTGGAGCTAGAAACACAAGCATTTTACTGCACTTGCGATAACATCTGCAAATATGTTTTTTTTGCACTCCACGCATCAGCCACTGTTTGAGGAGATATTCCGCCCAAACTATGTATGCCATGGGCTCCCAACCTGTTTCTGCAGCTACCCATTTATAGTGAAACCAAGTTAAATCTGTTCGGGAACATTTATATTAACATGTTTTCACAATATTTCATTCAACTGTTGTCAGCCCCTCTCTCTATGCGCTCAAGAGGCATGAAGGAGTGAGAGGAGGAGATGGAAACGCATGGTGGTGAGATTCTGTAGATAAAAGTAATGTGTCAGCCTATTCATTATTAAAATGTAAACAATTCCTTATTACTAGGCTATTCAAAATCAAATACAAATTCACTATAATTGTAGGCTAACTCTGTAAGCCACCCTGCACAATCAATGAACCAACAGCATCACCTAGGCCTATAAGTTCTCCCAGATGCATGGATAGAAAGTTTGGAGCGTAGCACAAGGTAACCAGTCCATCCAGTATGCATAATAATACAGTCCACACTCAAAGGCGATTTACTAGAATTTGTTTAATTTGAGTTTAGCTAGACCATTTAGGCTAGACCAATTACAGTGGGGGAAAAAAGTATTTAGTCAGCCACCAATTGTGCAAGTTCTCCCACTTAAAAAGATGAGAGAGGCCTGTAATTTTCATCATAGGTACACGTCAACTATGACAGACTAATTGAGGAAAGAAAATCCAGAAAATCACATTGTAGGATTTTTTATGAATTTATTTGCAAATTATGGTGGAAAATAAGTATTTGGTCACCTACAAACAAGCAAGATTTCTGGCTCTCACAGACCTGTAACTTCTTCTTTAAGAGGCTCCTCTGTCCTCCACTCGTTACCTGTATTAATGGCACCTGTTTGAACTTGTTATCAGTATAAAAGACACCTGTCCACAACCTCAAACAGTCACACTCCAAACTTCACTATGGCCAAGACCAAAGAGCTGTCAAAGGACACCAGAAACACAATTGTAGACCTGCACCAGGCTGGGAAGACTGAATCTGCAATAGGTAAGCAGCTTGGTTTGAAGAAATCAACTGTGGGAGCAATTATTAGGAAATGGAAGACATACAAGACCACTGATAATCTCCCTCGACCTGGGGCTCCACGCAAGATCTCACCCCGTGGGGTCAAAATGATCACAAGAACGGTGAGCAAAAATCCCAGAACCACACGGGGGGACCTAGTGAATGACCTGCAGAGAGCTGGGACCAAAGTAACAAAGCCTACCATCAGTAACACACTACGCCGCCAGGGACTCAAATCCTGCAGTGCAAGACGTGTCCCCCTGCTTAAGCCAGTACATGTCCAGGCCCGTCTGAAGTTTGCTAGAGTGCATTTGGATGATCCAGAAGAGGATTGGGAGAATGTCATATGGTCAGATGAAACCAAAATAGAACTTCTTGGTAAAAACTCAACTCGTCGTGTTTGGAGGACAAAGAATGCTGAGTTGCATCCAAAGAACACCATACCTACTGTGAAGCATGGGGGTGGAAACATCATGCTTTGGGGCTGTTTTTCTGCAAAGGGACCAGGACGACTGATCCGTGTAAAGGAAAGAATGAATGGGGCCATGTATCGTGAGATTTTGAGTGAAAACCTCCTTCCATCAGCAAGGGCATTGAAGATGAAACGTGGCTGGGTCTTTCAGCATGACAATGATCCCAAACACACCGCCCGGGCAACGAAGGAGTGGCTTCGTAAGAAGCATTTCAAGGTCCTGGAGTGGCCTAGCCAGTCTCCAGATCTCAACCCCATAGAAAATCTTTGGAGGGAGTTGAAAGTCCGTGTTGCCCAGCGACAGCCCCAAAACATCACTGCTCTAGAGGAGATCTGCATGGAGGAATGGGCCAAAATACCAGCAACAGTGTGTGAAGACTTACAGAAAACGTTTGACCTGTGTCATTGCCAACAAAGGGTATATAACAAAGTATTGAGAAACTTTTGTTATTGACCAAATACTTATTTTCCACCATAATTTGCAAATAAATTCATAAAAAATCCTACAATGTGATTTTCTGGATTTTTTTTTCTCATTTTGTCTGTCATAGTTGACGTGTACCTATGATGAAAATTACCGGCCTCATCTTTTTAAGTGGGAGAACTTGCACAATTGGTGGCTGACTAAATACTTTTTTTCCCCACTGTATGTACCAAAGACATCTTAATTATTTTTAATTTTTTGGGGGGCCATGCGTAATATGCGATAGGCTATTAGGCTATGCATTGTATAACGACACAATCATTATTTGAATAACGTTTTTTTTTGGGGGGGGGGGGGGGGGGGCTTGGGCTCATATAGACCTATGCGTATTCATAAGCTCTAATATGCGTATTCATAAACTCTAATATGCTTATCACCTTAGAAAGCGCTGTCCATTTTGTTGTT